CCCAAATGAAGTGGCCAGACATTTTGGTGTCCATCGAAACACGGGAACAAAGGTAACACGAGAGATTTGCCTCGGACAGGCCGTCCACTCGTGACGTCACGTCAGCAAGGCAACCACATTCGGCTGACCAATCTACGGAATCGATTCAAGACTGGTAGTTTGACTGCTCGGACCATTCCTGGCTTACGTCCAATCAGTTCCACCCTGTACGGAACCGACCGAGGGAGCACAACATCCGGCCCCGACGGCCTGCAATATGTCCAATTCTGCTCCAGCGTTACCGACAGGCACGTCTTGCCTCGTGCAGACAGAATCTACAGTACGGGAGACAAGATTGGGATAGTGTTTTGTTCAGTGACGAATCGAAATTGCATCTGGACTTCTCAGATGGCAGGGCAAGAGTGTACAGACGAAGAGGTTAGGGTATGCTGACGCGACAGTTTGATAAAAAGGATAATAGCATGACAATAATTACACAACAATCCGATACTCCCCGAGGCAGCTGTTTCTCCGGGCCTGTCCCCTATCGAAAAACGCTTGAGATGAAATGTAGAGACGTTTACGTCAAGCCCATAATCAGCCGTTGACGTAAGCTGAATTGGGACAAGCGTTGGTTCAGACATGGTACAACATTCCCAAAGCTTTCTTCAATCGCCTAGTGTCGTCTATGCGTCGCAATTGTCAACATTAATGATAGACACACGCGATACTGAATCTGTGAACCGACTTTGGACACCACATCTCTTTTTATTTATTTATGTTTTATTTATATATATTTATATAGCGCCAATATCCAGATCACCTGCTGAAATGCGCTTTGTTTTTCCCTCGATCATTGGATGTCCCTGTATTATCATACAACTCTTGCAGCCACTAGGCGCACCGAGTTAATGTGGCTTTCCCATCCTCTTCGAGGGCGTGTCACGATGCCTAGTGTCAAACCATACAGATTTCGATATTATCCTGTCAACAGTTTAACAGTGATTAAGCAAAACACCACAAATCATGTTATTATCTTTTAAAATTAGAAAATGCATAAGTTATTAAATAAATATTGCACAGTTACTTTATTCCAGTAGTTTATTAACACTAAGAGAAGATGTTACAAATGGGAGTACTACCTCTAATTAAGCTCGTAGTATAACGTCTTGTGATAAAAACACTACGTTGTACGTGTCGCATTCGAGTGTAGACCCCCGCTAACCCACATACTGGGTCCTCAGTCGGGTTGAATTGCTGCTTGACACAGAATCAGTGGAGCTACACAAATGCTTGATGCACGGGTCAGTGCATAGTGCACCTACATGAGTTGTAGGGTTGTTGAAAAGGCGATCAAAGAGAGGGGTGTACCTAAAGTATGGGTTGAATGAGTTTCTGTAATTTTCTGTAAGTAGGCCACCGGCCCATGTACAGTCACGTCTTGCCTCGTGCAGACAGCATCTACGGTACAGGAGACAAGATTGGGATAGTGTTTTGTTCAGTGACGAATCGAGATTGCATCTGGACAGCTCAGATGGCAGAGCAAGAGTGTGCAGACGAAGAGGTTAGGGTATGCTGACGCGACAGTTTGATAAAAAAGATAATAGCATGACAATAATTACACAACAATCCGATACTCCCCGAGGCAGCTGTTTCTCCGGACCTGTACAAAATTTCATTTTTGACAAGGCAATATACCTGTTGTACATTATTTACATACATTTGATCTGACCAGGAGGGCATGCTTAATAAACTGCACAGTTTTTAGAAGAATACTGGTATTATTACATTGCATTAATTTTTTTAAACGTAAAGATATTTGGACTTTGATCAAAATTTGGAAAATATAAACGTAGTAAATTGCATATGTATCACAGACAAAAAGAAAATGTAATTCATCCTCTGGGGGTGTTATTTTTACACATCTTATATATTGTTAAGGCATAATTATTATCTGCACATCTTACATTATAAAGAAGGGGTGTGTGATGGAGTCTAAGTGAACATAAATATCATCTATATTCTTTAAAATGTACATTTGAAACATAAAACTCCACATCTAATAAAGATGCATTGGTCGTGTAGCAACCTAAATGCGATGTTTCATTAATTCTGCTCAATATGCTTTGCCCCTTTACACCAATAAGCCTCTGTTTGAACATATATATAGAATTATTAATATTGCCAGTATCATGACTAAACCACACAAATCCAAACCCATTGGTGTTTAACAACCTTTTCACATACGATGCCCAAGTATATCTACCAGCTGAGTCAGGATTTTTCATCAAAATATAACATTGTCTAGGATACCTGTCTTCAGGCATATGAAGTAATATACACTTTTTACTCAAACTAGTCGTAGTGCTACAAGAAACTCGGGACATATTTCCATTTTTTCAGTCTGGGTCGGTGATGTCGACAGGGAGACCCTTTAACGCCTTATCTATTCATAATATGTGCAGAATTGCTTGCTATCTTTATTTAAGGTAACACAAATATAACCGGGATCAATGTGAAAGGAGTAGAATATTATATTTTCCAATATGCAGAAGATACTAATTTCTCGCTCGACGGATCAGAACAAAGTCCATCAGAAGTCATGAAGACTCTTAAACAATTAGCTATTTGCTTAATGGGCCACTGATCCAGAGCAATTTCCGTGGACTGGTTGTTGCTTTTGTTATTGGTTTTCTCCCGTGAGTACCCGGATGATATCACAAAATTCATGACTGGTTCGTTATCTCTGCTGCGCCACCCTCATGCGCAATTGATTGTATAAGAATAGACTGAACAAAGATGAAATCTTTTTTACTCGATAATATTTCCATCTTATGTTGATTTTGTTGTAAACTGATGTAGATTTTGATGAATAATTTAGTTTCTTATAAAATATACACTTTGATAAAAATGCTTATTTTGATGTAAAATATTGATTTCATAGTAATGTTGACTTTATAAACATGTTAACGTAAATGGATGTAGAATTTGATTTAAGAAATAGTTTGACCTTGAATTTGGTGAGAAGCCTGATATGATAGCATTGTTTTGAAAGTAAGGCTAACTAGGTACCGCTAACTAAGTACATGGGGAGCATAAAATAATGCCTTTTAATACAACATTCAGATTGGCTAGTAGTGAGCCCAAGCTCACTACTCTCCCCAAGACTCCCCATGTACTTAGTTAGCGGTACCTAGTTAGCCTTACTTTCAAAACAATGATAACAAAATAAAATGAAAACATTTTAAGATAAACCATCTGCCAGTGGTAAAAAATGTTAGGACTGAAATAACGAAGTCAATGTATGTCTTTATATTTTGTCTTATAATCCTAATTAGTTGATTATCATATTTGTATGCATTTTTAAACTTAATAAAATGCACACGATCTGCTTCTACTTAGTGACTACTTCTACATGACTGTAATATCTAGACATCTTATAGATTGCCAACGTGAATCATATTTCACACACACGCCCAAAGTGAGACCTAGTGTATGTTGCCTGTCTCATTACACTTCACGGCAAAAAAAATGATTCTGTTGAATGTCATAACAAATAAATAGAAACAAAATATAAATATCCAAATTAAAACACATTAAAGTTATAGCAACAATGTCAGGCTACTACCTTGTTCTGGGAATGTATCCATCAATATCCACATAAAGAATGAGATGCCATTCATCTGCAGCTGACAAAGAATCCTGTTCCATGTCATGTGTCTTTTAAAGGGCCACTGATCCTGAGCGATTAATGTTTCCAGCCTACAGCCTAATTACGAAACCAAGCTGCAAACTGGTCAGCCCCTGCTCCCTCGACCGTGACGTACACGGGGACTGGGCTACTGTCCACCTTGGCAGAATTTCTTCAACCTAATCAGTGGGACATTAGTAAGGGTGGATGCCCATCATCATTAGAAATAGGATCTAATTGGATCAGTCACTATACCATCCAAACATTTGAAAATCTGAAAAAGCATACACCGCAGGGATACTTTATTACAATCAGACAAGAAGTACCGGGGATATTTTCAAATAACGGCATCTGAACCACAGACCTTTAAAATATATTCCTAGAAACTGGATTGACAAGATGCGAACCTATCTTAGTAATGAGCACAAAAATGTTCTGATTCTCAACATGTAATGCACAACATGATATCCAATAAAGATGGTAAGTTCATTTATCGGAAAATATGTGAAGATGTACAAAGTAATCTCTCTGAACTTAGCAATAAATGGGAAATAAAATTGAATACCCCTGTAGTCAATTATGTACTGTAGAAAACAAGCTGCGAAATTTCCAATGTAAAACCTTGCATAGTATTCTAACAACCAACTCTTTCTTGTTTAGAATTGGTAGGACATGGTTAATTGCAGTTTTTGCAAGACTGAACGTGCAGGACTGTTTTGTGATAAAGCGGCTGCACTCTTGACCTGCTTCAGTAATTGGCATAATTTTATTACAAATGAAAATACTAATATCTCTAACAGGCAGTGTGCGAAATAGCAACTGGCCCGCTAGCCCATGGCTAGTAAAAAGCCAGTTGGGCCAGTAAATCTCCACGATGATTTATATGGAGCAGCATGTGCAATGTGAATGAACCCCCGTAAGATTTGTATAAAAAAGTAAGCCCCCTCCCCCCCGTATGTCATGTCCTAAAACAATGGCTCCACCCCAATTTTTACGCATACTGTTTAAAATAAAATTAAATACTAAGACTCCCAGCGCAGTAAAATGGGTGGCCCCTTACAGAATGGGTGCCCCCCTTAAAATCATAATCATAGCGCGCACACGCACGCACATACTCACGCACGCAAATACGCACGCACGCACAGCCATAAATTATGAACAGTCCTTAACTACCAATTGGTTTAAGTTCAGAGTCAACAGGCTATCATGATTTTTACATCACACCTGAACGAAAACATCTTTCTGCTACGTAAAATCCATTACCATATGACAACAACCCCCTCCCGCCCTCTACAGACAAACAGACACGTCACGTGACATACGCGACAGCCATAACAAAGACAAGCAGTGGTTTTACCCTCTTGGCATTACGCCAGTTGTATCGCGTCCGAGCGACAACAACCCACCAGGTGATTCCGTATCTTACGTATGTAAGTATGACATGTTCGGTCAAAAGGGGTGGCATTGTTGCGTTGGTTGACATGCAAGTATTCACCGGAATAGATTTCAGATGCTATAACTCGTTACGCTCCCATCAGCGTATATCCTGCGCATGTGTTCTCGTTCAACACATCTCACGTCAATACATACAGGCCACAAATAGGAGGGTCTAGACGAGTGGACGTGTCTGTCAGAAATACCTTTTGTCTAGTTGGAGTTCTCGATACTTTGAGTGAGGCATGCGTGTGCATATTTCTGAAAAAAATGATACAGTGTTATCTATCTGGTATGAAAGCATAATGGTGGCATTTCGATACTACAATTATTTTTAAAACCGACGTTTTTCACTATTTCAATTATTTCTTCATATTTTCGAAATTGTGGACTTATTTCTTGCCACTTCGATTATATTTTCGTCATCTGGATTACGTTCTCCCTATTTTAAGATTATTAAAAACCTCAAATTTTCAACTCCTTTCTTGTTGCTTCAATTATGACATCGATATTTTATTGATTTTCTCGAATTTTGCAAAAATTTCTCATTACATATTGAATCCAACGGAACTAACCAAAAAAAAAATTACTTAAACGTAATCGAAGTAACGAGAATAGAAATAGGAAATTTCGAACAAATCAACACAAAATTGAAACATAAAAAAAAACTGAAGAAAAAAAAGGTAATAATTAATAAATGAATGTATGTTACCACTGCAGAAGAATGTGGCTTTCCACCAGAGAGTATCTTACACTGAAATGAGGAATTACATTTTAGTGTTCATATTCTTGAGTGAGTGAGTGAGTTTAGTTTTACGCCGCACTCAGCAATAGTCCTGCTATATGGCGGCGGTCTGTAAATAATCGAATCTGGACCAAACAATCCAGTGATTATCAGCATGAGCATCGATCTGCGCAATTGTGAGTTCATGATATTGTTTCTCAACATGATATTGTATGCCTCTTTTTGCGTTTATAATGCATAACCACAATTGCTCATTGTCAGGAGACATCAACGTTTGTTTAGCTTATTACGGAAAAATATACTCGAAGGAGCTCGCGGGTTGTTAGAGTTATCATAATAACACTGTGAATATTGAGTTTTTCGTGCAAACGTATTCCAATTTCGTAAATCGATGTTCATAATGTCATCCGCTGGATTGCCTGGTCCAGACTTGGCTATTTACAGACCACTGATGTACAGGTTGAATATGAATATAAATCGATGTTGTCGTGTTATTACTTGATTGATGATTCCAGCGAAAAACAACAAAGAAACTTTAGGTCCAATATAAACCTGTTTCAGAACGCGCAAGGCTTGACATCGGACATGGCGGAGAAAGGTAAGTTATTCGGTGAGTGAGTGCGTTAGTGAGTGAGTGAGCAATATTACAGTGGAGGGCGCCAGAAATGGGCTTCAGTGTGGGATGTGGAACTCGTGATCAGCGACCGATTTAACCACTAGGCTATAAGCTGATAGTAAGACGAACGTTGATCATGGCATCTAATCACAAAGTAACCAGAAGGAAAACGAGGATCTGAGACCACAGACAAAATTGAAGACGTGACCACTAGCTCTGAAACAACATTAACAGTATTTTGGAGTTGGTATTTAATTAGATATTTGTATATGGACTTTGGCTGATATTGACGGGAAAACTGTGTATATGATTATTTCAATATTTGTACGAAATTTCGATCATACTTAGAAAAAGTGAACAAAAATTATTATTTTAATCATTATTCAAGCCGAAATAGATTGGATTTCTTGTATGTTTACACACAAGAAATATATAAGTGCTCTGAGAAAAAATGAAAAAAACCGAATATTCCAACCATTATTCAAGGAGAAATAGATTATATGTTTTATCAGTTTACACACAAGAAATATACATGTGTTTAGTGAATAGTGCAGAGGCCATTCTGGAAACACGAACCCTGCATTTTTGTAATTGATTTGAAGACATCCATTTCATTGCTGCTGGGAGACTTTATGAGCGAATACTGTATTGACACATCATTGCACATCTTGACCATTCCATTGTTTTTGTCAGGTACGTCGGTCCACGTCACTGGTAACCAAGGAACTGCCCACAGTGTGTATGCCATCGGAATCCACCAAGGGACACTAAACGGTAAGCCCCTAACACACTTCTCCTTTAGGCGAGCTGGGATAGCCTAGTGGCTATAGCGTTAGCTCGTCACGCCGAAGACTCGGGTTGGATTCCCACATGGATACAATGCATGGTGAGGTGAAATTGGGTTTAACGTCGTGCTTGAGAATATTTCGCTCATATGACGACGTGCATGCGTGTGTATGTGTATGTGCGGCTGCTTGTACTAGCCCAGACTTAAGCTGGTTTTATAGTGCTAGCCCACTGAGATACCACGCCGCAGTGAAGCATGAATACCCCACTCAGACACATTATACTGACTCCGAGACGGTCAGTCCTTGTTGTACCCTTTAATGCCGAGCGCCAGGCAGGGACCAACAAGTACCATATTTTTACGTCTTTTGGTATGACGCGGCCGGGGATCGAACCCGCGACCTTCCGCTCTCCGGGCGGACGCTCTAACCACTACACCACGGAGGCGGTCTTACAATACATGGTGTCCCCTGCCGTAATATTGCTGGAATACTTCTAAAAGCAGCGTAATACTAAGCTCACTCACAGACTCACAGACTCACAGACCTTTACTCACTCTATTCGTCTGCCGCAGTCCCTGAACCATATTATTTTCTATACAGCCAAGCCCTCCCTGCAATGCTAAAGCCCTAAATGAAGCAAGTCTAGATTTCTCCAGGATCTCTGGTCTCCCTGGGGCTCCTTTTCAATTTAAATGAGTTTATTTGTTACAATCAAAATTACATATGTTCAGAGACTAAACGTTAGTCTATCACTCTATATGTCCAGGGATAATTTCACGTAATGAACAAACGGTGTATTTTGTTTTACTGACGACAATGTGTATAACATCGGAATCCATCAAGGGACACTGAAAGTAAGCATGTAGGACTCGGATCCATAGCATGCCTTAAATCTATGGCCCATTTTCAAATCCATGGCTAGTTGCCGTACCTACCCTAATCTGTGGCTACGGATTTCCTACTCATCATCATTAGAACATTTCAGCTCGGTAGAATAGGGGTTATGGCATTTCATTTATGTGTTTCTAACTTACTGATACCCCTGGACCTAGGTTTTCGAAGCTCTGTTAGCGCTAAGATCGTCTTTCGATATTGCTAATGTTTTTACGACTATCATAAAACTAAGAGAGCTTCGACAAATTAGGCCATGCTAACTATCAAAGATGACGGAAGGTATCCGGTATTCTGTAGTCTTACCATGCTTTTTACCATTTCTTCTTTAATGCAACATCGCCGATGCGGGGTGTCTAAATCGACACTTTTCTTAATAATCGCTTGTGATGTTTCGTCAAAGAAATATTTCTCAAGGATTCTTTCGTTGGCTGCAAACGAGAGGATCTTGCAAATCTTTACACTTCCCCATTTCGGATTCAGCGTTTTCAGTTTTGTAATCTTACGTATTTTTTCCATATCGTTCCAAATGTTTTTGCATTGGGATCTTTTGATACGGGTTTCTTCTTCTTTCTAAGTGGCCTCCCAATTACAAAACCATCATTTTGTATGGTTTCCATTCTTTTAGCTTTGAGATCACTATCGCCACGAACGGCTAGTTAGGAGATAAACATCATGTGTTGGCCAATTTCCGGGTGTTATTGAGTATTTGAAGCACGGGAATTCATTTGGAACCGACGGCGTCAGCTGGCCGCTTGGAACTCTGGGTAGAGAGTGACCCGCCACACTCACTCACTCACTCATCGAATAACTTACCTTTTCTCCGCCATGTCCGGCGTCCAGCCTTGCGTGTTCTCACGAACGAACGACATAAGTCGTCCAAGGTGATGCATTTCATTGACAGAAACCCAGGTGCACCCCTTAGGTATCCAGGTGGACCAGCACAAAGTGTCGTGCTCGTAAATGGTTTACTTCCATGACCCCAATCACATTGAGCTGACACAGGATGATATAACGATAAACAAACTTACACAATTTCATCATCTGTGGCTTTTATATGAGTGGGCCTTTCATCAATTTGCATCCAATAAAGGAAGACTCGACTTCATCCCCTAAATGTTTTGATTTCATTGTTACAGTGAACCATTCCAGGGACGAAGACAGACTGTGTGATTTGAAAGGTAATGTCGAGACAATAGTTAAATACACAAGTAAATGAATAAGTATTTAGAACGTTTCTATTTGATAATACAGACACATATTGTTCCCCAAAAATATTGGTCTATAATGGCAGAGTTTACGAATTTCTTGGCGAATTTTTAACGCAAACTCTTAAACATGTTGTGACCTTATATAAATTTGTCAAAAGTGTATTACTGACCTGGGCGGTATATAGTGGTTAAATTTGTCACGCCGAAAGTGTATTACTGACCAAATGTTAAGCCCATTCTTTGTGTCCCCGCCGTCAATTGTGGGATATGTATCACTCAGTCAGTATTACTGACCAAATAAGGAAATGTATAGTTGGAACATAATGTTTTCGCTCATTAAAAATAAAAGGTTGTATCAAAAGCAATTTCTTTTCGAGCACATTTTAATATTCATTTACAATTTACGTCACAGGAAATGCAGATTGTGCACTATCCAAAACGTACCTTGACATCTGCTTAAAATGTCAACCTATTTCCAGATCGCTGTTGATCACTGGATTGTCTGGACCAGTTGCGATTATGGTATCAAACAACAAACAAACAAATAAGTTATGACCAGCATAGATAAACCGTCGTGTCTTTTAAATGCTTCTAAATACGACACGAACACACATTCAGTGTGTGCACTTCTCACAGGCATCATAATATCTGTTTAAAGTACCAATATTTTTTACAGAACAAACAAGGAAAGATATTGATATCTGGAACAGAGGAATGGTCAGAGTGTCTGCCATTGAAACCGTCATAGAGAAGCTTCAAACAAGGCACCGATGGGTTACTGTTACCGGAAATGCTGGTGACGGCAAGACAACTCTTGGTTACATGACGCTGAAGAGTCTGCAGGATGATGGGAAGGAAGTGTTCAAGATCGACAATCCCGAGGACTACTTCATTATCTGCAGGAAGGCTGCTCACAGTGTCGTGTTCATGAATGACGTGTTTGGTCCTTTCGATTTTGACCAAAGAGCTTTTAGCGCTTGGCTGCCCGTGTTTCAAACAATTTCAGAAGGTAGGACGAAGGGTAACGAAAATGAACATGGTCCAAGTATAATATTTGTGAGCAGGCTCAATGTTTTGGAAGTTGCTAGGAATCAACTTGGAAAATATGGAGACATCGTTTTGGGAGAAGGTGCAATAGTCAATCCCGATAAGATGAACACAGACAGGGAGAAACTTGACATCTTAAACTTTCATCTGTCCAGACATCATATAAGTGACATTCCAGAAAGTACCAAGATGCAACTATATAGTCGGAGTCCTCATGGATTTCCTCATTGCTGTGAGATGTATGTTGAACTGAGAACCAGTGGACATGAAATTGATATTGCCAAGTTCTTTTCTTCACCTCTCAAATTCCTCAATTACACAACATATAGTTTTGATTGATAAACAGAAATGTTATGATCATTTTAAAATACTCCTGAAGGCTGGTGGTCAATTGGATATTTCAAGCCTTACAGATGCAACACTAAGAACAGAAATGCAAAGCACTGCATCTGGTTTATTAGGAAGCTATCTTAAAATGAGTGGAAGTGGTGTTGCATTCTCCCACCCATCCATCTATGAAAGTGTGGCAGTAGCAGTTGGAAACAAAGACCCTCTCTTTGCTGCACAAGAGTTTCCTATTTCAGTCATCATGCAAAAGTGTAAGGTGCATGTGCCACAGGAAGGAGAAACTGAGATGTACATCTTGTTCAGTGAATCATCCTCAGCCATGGACGCACTTGTTCAGAGGCTGGCTGCAGAAATACGTCAGGGGAAATACTTTGCAATACAACATGAGCTTTGCTGGGAAAGGAAGTTCTGTGAAGAGGTGATACAGTCAAGTGTCTGTAGATCAGTTCCCCTTTTCGGCTAGGTAATATGCTGATTCAATCAGCTTTGCTTCATTTGGTTGTGATTGTGTTTTCTGTACAGACAAATCTATGTACCCACAAAGTTTCACAACAGTTACTGTCTGATCGAACCACTGCTATTGCTTTTAAGTTATGAGGTCAGGTCATTAATTATATTCCTTTATAAGAGATCAGAGTTATTTCATTACATCACACATGGAAATATAGTATGATTGTAAGATGAAAGCAAAATGTATGATTGTAAGATGAAAGCATAATGTATGATTGTAAGATGAAAGCATAATGCATACACATTCTCACTGAACGGTCCTTGCAGCTGTGAAATGAGGTACATGAAAGACAGCGTGTCCACACAGCCTAATCATCTTCTGGATAAACAAAGAATATTTAATCAAACGATGTTTGTCGCTGTACGTAAAGAAAAACTCAATTTTGTTTCAGAGAAGGAATTATGTCGGTATCAATCAGAGAGACAGTGCAGACAGTACCATCCTGCATGTGGCTGTTCAGTGCCGTAACTACACTGCATGTAAGATTCTGCTGGAGAGAGGTGCCAATGTCATTATGTCTCTAACAAAAGATACTTCTCTAACAATCCTGCATGAGCTTGTTGGCGCGGGAGATGTTGATATCCTTGACCTCTGCTTACAACATGGTGCTGATGTCGATTATAGTACTGATGAAGGTGTAACACTCCTTCACTGTTGCGTTGAGTGGTTGAGAGGTCCACGATGCATTGACATGATTGTCTTGCTGCTGGGATACGGAGCCAAAATCAAAAAGGCTGATGGAAGCATAAAGACCGCAATTCGCCGTGCAGCCCCATACTTCTTCGGTGACGTTGGTTACATCAAGTCCATTGCTTATGGTAAGACTGCACTCCACTACGCTTGTCGGAAGCATGGCGTAGATGTGAATGTTGTTCGCCTGTTGATTGATCGTGGAGCGGCCGTCAACCAGGTTGATGGGAATGGTGAGACAGCTTTGCACTACCTATGTCAGAGGGAAGATGAAGACGAGGGGTTGAAATTGCTAATGGGAAATACCAAGAATTATGGGATGCATTTCAGAGAAAAACAAATGAAAGTTATGATTTCTACAATGTAGACAGTTGGGAGACACTGGTGGACTATCTGTGTGAAAAGAATGGTATAGGTAAAGAGGAACTGGAAGCTGCACGACGTCCTTTTGAGGGAAGACATCAGGGTGCAGAAACTGAAGAGATGGAGGCTATCACACTGCTGTTAGAAAGGGGGGCGGACGTTGAGAAGACAAATAAATATGGACAGGCACCCCTTCACCTGCTGTGTCAGAGATGCCTTGTAGATGTCAGAACAGTTCATCTGTTGCTCAAGCATGGCGCTGGTGTGAACGTAGCTGACAAAGTTGGAAACACTCCTGTGCACTACATCTGTCAGCGGAAGGAAGCAGATGTCAGTACGTTGTATCTTCTGACAGGAAGAAGTGTCAAGACAACATGTACACTGAAGAACAGACACGGGCGTACTGCCTTACAGTATTTGTGTGAGAGACAGAGAATCCGACTCGCCGAAACCTTTCATCTCACGTGACAAAGTTCCAGAAAGGATGTGAGTGAGTGAGTTTAGTTTAACGCCGCACTCAGCAATATCCCAGCTATATGGCGGCGGTCTGTAAATAATCGAGTCTGGACCAGACAATCCAGTGATCAACAGTATGAGCATCGATCTACGCAATTGGGAACCGATGACATGTGTCAACCAAGTCGGCGAAACTGACCACCCGATCCCGTTAGTCGCCTTTTACGACAAGCATAGTCGCCTTTTATGGCAAGCACATGGGTTGCTGAAGACCTATTCTACCCCGGACCGTCACGGGTCGAAGGGATGTGTGTTGCATTATGTGTAGTTGGATATTCCGCGCATAAATTGTTTCGTGGAGCTGCGATCTGAGTCAGAGGAACAAAACAATTATCAGTACTTTGTATCTTCTTTCAGAACGCAGTGTCTCACTGGAGCTGGGCAGGGGTTTACTACTTTCCAAGTTTTGTTTCAGAGACATAACATCATACATTGCCCGTTGCTAGTAAAAATCCAGTTGGGCCAGTCACTATAGTGAATTTCCATGGGGTCATTTTTTAAATATAACACTCTCTCCGACCTGTTAAGTTATAATACACTTTTAAATCATGCAAGATTATGGCCTGATAAATAAAGGTATTGTACCTTTTTTGTAATTTTGCTTAGTTTCTACATTTAAATTTCGGGCCAGTGAATTATTTTGTGGGCTAGTAACTTTCAGGCATAGCTCGCCCGACTGGCTCGCAAAATTTGGAAACTATTTCGCACACTGTTGCATTGTGTGTGTGTCGGTGGCAACGTCTGTCTTGTAGCTGACGCCTGTGTCCCCCATGCTGCTGCTGTACATTTGGAATGGACAGTTTCATAATCTGGCGGAGGGGGGAAGGGGAGGGAAGAAGGGCTTGTTGTTGGTTGGCTTGCTGTTTAATGATGCTATATGGTGGCGGTCTGTAAATAATCGTGTCTGGACCAGACAATCCAGTGATCAACAGCACGAGCATCGATCTCCGCAACTCGGATACGCAGACATGTGTCAACCAATTCATCAAGCCTGACCACCCAATCCCGTTAGTCTCCTCGTACGAAAAAAACTTGGGTTAGAAGAAGGGCGAGGGAAGGGTGATGAAAGTTGGTTTAAGGCAGAAACACTTTTGAAACCGCACATATTTGCTTCCTCCAGCATTTTTACCCCCACCACAGATTATTGCTACATTTCATTCCACCTCTAACATTTTATTATATTGCACATTTAAATAATGAATACTTTATTATTTGTACCTTGCAATTGTATACACAGCTGATTAGTTTAAAAATACATTTGCTGTGCATGGCGACAGGGCTTTTGGAAGATTGGTCTGACTTCTCAAACAAATCTGCAACTGGATATTTGGCTGTGTGGGACAACTGACTGACTGACTGAGTTTAGTTTTACGCCGCTTTTAGCAATATTCCAGCAATATCACGGCGGGGGACACCAGAAAATGGGCTTAACACATTTTGCCCATGTGGGGAATCGAACCCGGGTCTTTAACCACTTTAACCACTAGGCTACCCCACCGCCCCCTGTGTGGGACAAAGACGGAAGATCATTTTATGCAGCTGGGACATTTGGATTGGGAGTTTGTGAAATGCATAAAGTCCTCTGATATCCACTCTCGCCATGTTATTGCTGGAATATCGGGAAAAGCGGCATGGAATCATACTCACTCACTGTAAATACCATACTTTCATACATTTGACAAGTGAGTGAGTGAGTATGGTTTTACGCCATTTTAGCTATATTCCAGCAATATCACGTCGGGGAGACACCAGAAATGGGTTTCACACATTGTACCCACGAGGGGAATCGAACCCGGGACTTTGGTGTGACGAGCGAACTTTGGCTACCCACCGCCCATTTGCGTTAGATATGCTACCTCAAGTAACATGTCGACAACAATGGTTGTCAGTATATAATGGATTTCAACTGATGTCTAAAAAAATCAGCAACCACAGTCGCATTGCTACTGCTTAATGGTGTGCAAGGGGACAAACGAATTATCGATACTGTCTTCCTGGATTGGCTATCAATATATATAATAGAAATCGATCATCATCAAATGATCATCGATCGATTATCGATAAATATCGGAGAAGTAACTCTGTGCAAAAATGCCTGAAAAATCTGAAAGAAATCAACACATGCCTAATCATTGATGCAGATAGATTCTCGACCCACGTGCTGCTTGCACCAGCACGTTTCCCGGTCCTTGCCGCATCTCTATCCAGCCGAATCTGCGATCCGAATCCACTGAGGGGTTACACATGTATGCTGGATTAATAACAAAACGCCATCCTGAATATATACATTATGAGCAGCCAATGAATAAAGACCTAGCTTTGCGTATTTTCAGAGTAAATGTGACGATGATTTCATCACAATAGTTTATGTACGATATTATAGGTTACACAATTTTCACATTGATGATTATAGATTACGATTTCCATCGACGATATTTCCTATTTTCGATCTTTTAACCAACCTAAATAAACAAGCACCCAGATCCGGAGTCTGAGTGATGACTTATTGATACGGCTATTTTGTTGAATACAAGCACCTGTGATAGCGCCAACAATGCTTGTTGTGAGGTGAGGTGAAATTAGGTTAACGTCATGCTTGAGAATATTTCGCTCATATGACAACGTGAATGCGTGTGTGTGTGTGTATGTGCGGCTGCTTGTACTGGCCCAGACTTAAGCTGGTTTTTATAGTGCTAGCCCACTGAGATACCATGCCGCAGAGAAGCATGAATACCCCACTCAGACACATTATACTGACTCCGAGCCGACCAGTCCTTGTTGTACCCTTTAATGCCGAGCGCCAGGCAGGGACCAACAAGTACCATATTTTAACGTCTTTTGTATGACGCGGTCGGGGATCGAACCCGCTCCTTGTTGTGAAAAACTTGAGTGGCAGAATGTAATCTGGATATTCTGTTGATTGTCACAATGTCCTTTGCCCTTTCCCCATTCATAAGAAATCTCTGCCAAAAGCAGAATCGATTGTACAAGTGTGAAGGTATCGTGAGCAGATATTTATTTCAGCAGTATTACAGATGTATGATGTTGTATGTAAACAAATCGTGTCAGAACCAGACAATCGAGTGATTGTCACGATGCGATACAATGACAGAGCATGTGTTTATGAATCACTATGATATAGTGATGATACCAGGTGTTCGCGAAAAGGTGAACATACCCTACTGAGTGGACCCCATCAGTGGCACCTGTTATAAAAATATGTTTACCTTTGTTCACCTGAAATAATTTAGGAACGTATGGTACAAGGCAAAATAAGGAATTGTATTGTACATAATGTTTTGTCACTGATGCATAATCATGATATAGGCTAACAGACATCGGAAATGGGGAACACATAATGGCACGATGACAACTTGATGAACCATGCCAGGGGTTGTAATCCTACCACCCTCGGTACATACTGAGCAGCACTGAAAACACACTAGTAAAAAATCTTAAAATATCACAAAAATGGCTTGAGCAATTACCAAGTTTATTTAGAACAGGAATAGATGGATTATTATGAAAGACAACAAAGGGCAAAAAGAACAACAACCCCAAAACAACCAAAAACACGGAAAACAAAACCAAAATCCCCACCACCACCACCCAAAAAAACCCCAAACAAACAAAACCAAAACCACCCAAACAAACAAAACATTAAGAAACAAAACAAAACAATATCAAACCAGACAAAACCACCCTATGATTATATTTACGTCATCATTATAGAAGACACATGGGGTCAAAATGAAAAGTCAATATTGGATACGTCCACCATTGCAGCAACACAGGTCATACAACGCCTTCTCATTGATCCAGGGCGGTGGGGTAGCCTAGTGGTTAAAGCGTTCGCTTGTAAAGCCCAAGATCCGGGTTCGATTCCCCACATGGGTGCAATGTGTCAAGCCCATTTCTTCTGTTCCCCGCCGTGATATTGCTGGAATATTGCTAAAAGCGGCGTAAAACCTCACTCACTCAACTCTCATTGATCCAATGAGTCTTTGATAGCATTCCGCACCTGACGCATATGACTTAAGCCCGGATAAAAATACATCATTTTACTGGGGTGCGTTTTCAGTGCTGTTCAGTATAGAGCTATGCCGGGGAATAGCACACCCATATGTTGTATAATGTTCTAAGATGCCTCGGTGAAAGATCAAAGGCGCCGACAGTACTTTATCAGACGAAAATGTTCACTTTTTGCATTACGTCAGTAATGCCATTCTAAATGTTCACTTTTTGCATTACGTCACAATGTAAGCGACGTCACGATGCATGTCCGTTGCCATCGCCTCGTTCAGCCTCCTACAGTAAACTATTCCGTTGCATCCCGTTTCTTGGTTTGCAGTTGTTCACGCAGCTAACATCACTGGTGGAAACATTACGTTTATGTTTTCCGATGATTTAAATGTTTTAATTCGACTCACAAGTTTTCAGCGACACGGTAACGTTCTCAATGTTTACATTCCCACAATGCAATCGTGGAATGTCGCTTGACTACTTGGTTTCATCTGAATGTACTGATCTAAACTTACTTTGGTAGTAGAAATGCGACGTTCATATTGTCCCATATGGTTTACGTTAATCGCAGATGTAATTAAAATAATTTAGGGAAGATAATTAATCAGAACGTAAACCGTCATCAAACTGTTTATCGTTTGTATTTTGTGGTAAATTCTGGGACATGTGTTGACTGCGTGTCATGTTCCAACAGTAGTAGGTTGCCCCAGTAACCAGTAAGAGTCGACAAGATCGGATTAGATGATCAAATTCTGGGACATGTGTTGACTGCGTGTCATGTTCCTATAGTAGTAGTAGGTTGTCCCAGTAACCAGTAAAGTAAGAGTCGACAAGATCGGACTATATGATCAAATTCTGGGACATGTGTTGACTGCGTGTCATGTTCCTATAGTAGTAGTAGGTTGCCCCAGTTACCAGTAAAGTAAGAG